GGGTCGGTGATTCTTGCGTTGCACTTCCTCTGGTGACAGTTCCAGAGTGGCTTCCTCTCCTGCTGCATCTGGAGCAGGTACCTTCTCCTCCCACGCTCAGGCCAGGAGCCCACCAGTCCTCCTTGTGTCTCTTCTGCCTGATGCCCTCCTGTCAGTGAGCCCCACACCTCTGTCCAGACGCGCCATGCCTGCTGGCTGCACCCTAAAGGCCGGTACCTGCTTCCTGAAGAGTGTGCAGGGCCCCCGCGCCTGTCAGTCTCTACACGAGAGCCAGAGACGAGAGGGGCTTCGTGACGGGCCGAGGCTCGGGGACAGCAGGATGCCTGGGCCCTGACTGCTCTTGACCTTGCCCTCTTTCTGCGTGTTAGTCTCTCTGCCCTTGCTGCTCCACGGCCTGGGAGGCTCTGCCCTTCCGTCTCTAGGTGGCAGCTCGTCCACCTCCCGGCCTCAGCTCCAAGGCTGGTCCCTCTGGGAGGGCCCCCAGGGCAGGTGTCTGTGCCCGGCTCAGTGGAGGACGCACTGGCTGCTGGTGCCCACACCAGCCCAAGTTGGCCGCTGCTTGCTCTGCTCCTAGCTGAGCTCTGCTCCTCATGGTGAAAGCCATGACGAGGGCCTGGGAAGGTCTCCCTACCTGCCCAGCTCTCCACCTGCCTCCTCAGAGCCTGAAGTCCCCCGGAGGGAGGGGACCACGCGAGCCTCACTCCTCCTGCCTGTCTATGCAGGGGACCTCCTGGGCCCAGGTGTCTCTCATCAGCACGCTTTATGTGACCAGAAGTGACTCTCTCCTCTATAGGGCACAGTGTCACGGTCCTTCGTGACTCCAGGAGGCGGGCAAGCTGGTGTCAAGGCCTCTAGGGCCAGGTGTCAGTGAATACCCAAACTCAGCTCAACCACACCACCTCATTAAGCTTCAGTTTTCTCATCAGGAAAATGAAAATCTCAGTGCCTGCCCCAGGCGTCTTCAAGGGACCAGGGTCCGCCCCACGGCAGGCCTCGCTGGAGTTCACATCAGGCTGAGAAGCAGCCGGCACTGGAGCAGGCTCTGCACCCAGACCCAAGCTGCCAGGTGGAGAGGGAGGTTCGGGCCACACAGGGCCTCAGCTCCTGGGGTCTCCCTTGGCAGCAGGAAAGAAGGGCGCCCTCCCCAGGGCCTTGTCAGGGGCGGCCCCTGAGTGGGCTGCCGAGTGCGCCGCAGAGCAGACGCCTCCTCGGGTCCAGCTGGAGAGGGGCCCTGCGTCCACTGGGTGGGGGAGCCCTGTGCTGACCGACTGGCTTTCTCATTCGCCTGACTCGGCACCAGGCCCGTCCAGCTGAGGACGCTGTTGTGGGGGAAGCCTTGCCCCTAGGGTGTCACCTGGAGGTGCCGCCAGGTCCAGCAGCCTGCTCCCTGGGGAGCTGCCCGCCACCCAGCCGCCCACCTCCCCTGTGGGTGGTGAGCAGATACCTCGTAGGTGGATCCGTCAGCGCAGTGCAGCACCCCGTGTCCCTGACGCCGGTCCTGGACCCAGTCCCCTTCATACTTATCACCGTTCCTGAGGGGCCCAGCACAGGCCTCAGCAGGCAGCCAGGTGGCGGCTGTGACTCAGACCTGCTCCTCCCACTGGGCTCAGCACGCACCACCCGGACCAGGGCAAAAACAGGCCCCCGAACAGATGGCCTGCGGGTCCTGCCTCCCCAGGGCCAGCTCAGGAGGGCTGGAGTCGGGCAGGACGTGTCTGCCTGACCCTGCAGGACCCGCTTCCCGAGCAGGCCGGCTCCACACCCTGCGAGCTCGGGGAAAGGGTGGACGAAACGGGAGAGGGCGGGGAGCGCGCAGGGGGTGAGTGAGAACGGCTCTGGACAGGGCATTCAGGCCCCAGGCCTCATATCCTCGCCTGGAGGGTGGCTGTGCTGGCCAGGAGGCACCCCTCATCAAACCCGGGTGGCCGTGGCCTCGGGGGAGACCACCTCCCCAGCCCACTGCCCCACCAGGTGCTTTTAACTTGGTTGAGTTGCAGACGGACAGAATGCTTTCCTTTCATTTACTTATTTCTACGTGGGGCTGAGGATGGGACCCAGGGCCTCCCACGTGCCAGGCTGCCCCACTGAGCCCCAGCCCCAGCCCACCAGGCATTTTAGTTGGGGGGGGGTTGGACTTTTTTCCACTAAACACATAACCCGTTCGAATGAGGAGCGGGCAGGGCGCGGCTCAGCGCTTCCCACACGGGCAGGCCCTGGTTCCACTCCGGCACAAGAGAAAGAAAAGAGACGGTTCACAAAGTGACCCTGGGCCAGCGTTCAAGGACTGGACGCCCATGGCTGGCGCTCTGCAGAACCCACCCCACCCAGGGGCACCCCTGCTCTGGCCCCACCTGGCCCACCCCGAGACCCACACTCACTTAAAGAGCATCTGTCCCCGGCCATGCCTTCTGTTGTCATGGAACGACCCCTCGTACTCCTGTCCTTCCCCGTCCACCAGAAAACCCTGTCCTAGGAAGGAGCCAAAAGACACAAGGGTACTGCTACCTCCTGCCAGGGACGGCCTGCTCCTGGCTCTTGGGGTGACTGCCTTCCAGAGGGACTCTGCCTGCAGCCCCGTGGAGGCCCTCCCTGGCAGAGAGGCCAGCAGGAAGGGGTGAGCCGAGGGGAAGGCTGGGGTTCCGTGACCCTGCACCCAGGAGCCAGGCTGTCCTTCCAGGCTGGGCTACACAGGGGTCACGGGCACTGCCTGGACAGGAATAGCAAATGTGACTTGGCCACTAGTGGGCTGACCCGCAGGCCATGAGCCCAGCTCCAAGAGGCTGAAGGAGGGCTCTGTTGGAGGCCCCCAGACCCAGTGTCTGAGATGGAGAGAGCTGAGCGGCGCCGGGTGGTGTGAGGTCTGCACACGCTGGCTGGTGTCCAGAGGAAAGGTGAAAGGTGGCCTCAGGAACTCGTCAGCACTTCACATCTGGACACAGACATGGGACACAGCCAGCCTGGGAGGAAGGAAGCCACCCCTAGAGCGGAGGTGGCCCTGCCTGCCCGACTCCTTTCCAGATGTAGCCAGTCCTTCCACCAGTGGCTGGGCAAAGGGACAGGACCCCTCGAACCTGCCTCCTGACTTGCTCTGGCCAACAGACTGAGAAAGGGGCCGCTAGGCCCTGGGAGGGCCTATAGTCTCCCCTGGCAGTCCTGAGACACGGAACCTTGGGCAGCACCAGGCCTGCTGAGCTGTGGCTGCAGGCCTGGGGCAGCTCAGGTGAGACCAGAGGGCCAACCTGAGCACCACAGGAGCCTGAGCAAGTGACCCCAGTGTTGGGCATGAGCTAGGGGCAGCAGACAGCTGAGGTATGACCAGTGTCACTGGACACAGCAGGGGGGGCTTAGCAGGCGGACCTATACTGGATGTGGTCTGGGAGCAGAGATGAGGGCATGACCCTGCCCCCAGGGCCCCCACCTCCTTTTCCAAGCTCCAAAGCCAGACAAGCTGAGTCAGTGACCCCCATGCCGGAGTGGGCATCTGGCTCCAGCCCCCGCAGCACCCTGTGCACACAGACCTGCCCTCAGGCCGCGAGAGAGCTCCCCTTCATAGTGGCCTCCGGCTTTATACTTCATGACGCCATGTCCTTGAGGCTCTCCCAGAATGAAGTGTCCAGAATAGGTGTTTCCTGGGTAGACAACAGGAAGAAGTCAGTGCCATGTCCTGCATGTCCTCTCCCCTGACCAGTGTGGTGGCAGGGGCCACTTCACAGTGGACATCCCTGTCTCTCACTCCTCACATGGTTCATGGGGGACAAACAGGACGACCCGGGCCTGGTCCTCCCTGCCTTGGGGCCTGCTGCTGTTCCAGGTGACCTTCCCTGTGGGCACTTGGGGTGACGGTGTGGGTGAGACTTGTCCCCAGGCCACTGAAAACAACTGGAAGCAGAGCCTGAGGGAAGAGTTCCCTTGACGCCCCCCCCTGCCTGCGGGCTCACAGTGGGACACAACGGGACACAACGTGGTTGAAATGTCTTTCACAAAAAAGGAAACTGCAGCTGCAGGATGATCTTTTTCCTGACAGTCTTCCGATGCTGCCCAGGCTGGCCTCCAGCTCTTGAGTGCAAGTCAGGTGAGCCTCCTGCCTCAGCCTTTTGCAGAGAGGGGACAATAGCCCAGTGCCACCAGCACTGGCTGTGTGATGACAAATCTTTCCAGCTCATGTCTGGCAAGGTGGGCACACAGCCCCGACTGAGCTGTCCTCAGTGGACCAGGTTCCGCCTGGGCACAAAGGCTATCTTTGCCGCTGGTATGCTGTGGTCACACTGCTGTCCCAAGCTAGGGAACCTGGGGCCTCTCGTTTCCTCACAACACTGTGTCCAGCAGCAGGGGACCAACCTATGCCCGAGAGCGCCTGGGAGAGGAGGCCACATGTTCCTCTGCACTCACCTGACCAGGCCCAGTACCGGCACCCGAGCCCTGTGATCTCGCCATCCGCAAACTCGCCCTCATAGTAACTTCCATCGTTAAACAGCAGCTTCCCGTGACCTGGGGAGGACCACGGAAAGTCAGGGCCCGGTCCTCACTGCCAACGAGCCCCGACTCGCCAGCCTCGTCTCAGAGTAAGGGTGGCGACACCTAACCCTCAGGTCTCTCTGGCCCTGTCACATGTCCACCGTGTGCTCTTTGCCAGTCGCCCAGGTCCTCCACGTTTATCTCCAGAATCCTCCACCAGGAGCCAGAGGCAGCAGCACTGCAAGCTTGAGGCCAGCCTGGGCAACTCAAAATAAAAATGTGGGGCTGGGGGGTGGCTCAGTGAGAGGGCGCTCGCCTACCATGCATGAGGCACTGGCTTCGATCCTCAGCACCACATGGAAAAACTAAATAAACAAAATAAAGGTATTGGGTCCATCCACAACTAAAAATATTTTAAAAGACGTAAAGAGGGCTGGGTGGAGCCCAGTGGCAGAGCACCTGCCTAGCATGCAGGACGAGGTCCTTGGCTGCATCACCAGCACCACAAAAAAAAAGAATACAGTTCTCAAAACATCTAGTGACTGGAGTGCTCTGCTTTGTTCCGCAGCACTCTGCATTGGCTGGAAGGACCACAGAGGCCCAGAAGTGTACATGTTCCTATCTCCCTCCCAGAGGGAGGCAGGCAGGAGTGACTGGGGGCAACCCCCCACGCAGTCTGGGTAGGAGCTTCCACACCCTGGGTGTGGCAAATCACCAAGTAAAAGCTGAATGTCGAGAATGGAAGAGCAGAAGCCAGCAGATGTGGCCAGCCCAGCCCTCCGGGGAACACAGGAAGGACGTGGGCAGGTGGGGCCCAGCGACAAACAGCAGATGCTGGTGAGTCCAGACCCCGAACACTCACAGCACTTGCTATTGCATGTAGGGTATTTCAGGGGGTTTTACTTGAGGCTTTCTTTCCTCTATTCTTCTATAAAAGTAGGTCATCTCTTTATAATCAGGAAAAATCCTTAAAGCACATTTTTACTCTGGAAAAGATCAGCTAGCTAAGACTCCAGGGAGGACTTCCAAGCTGCCACTTCCTTTGCTGAAAGTGCCCCAAGGCTTGTGGTACCGCAGCTTGCCAGGGTGGGGTGGGAGCGGCTCCCTGCGTGCCTGTGGCTCCTCCCAGCCTTGCCAGTGGCTGGCAGCTGATGAGGGTGGCACCAGGGTACTGTGAGTGGGAGCAATGTGAAAGGGACTTACTCAGCACCAGCATGAGCCAGAGGAGGCTGGGACCTGCTGCTGGCATGTCCCAGGTCATGCTTGTACAGGGCCATGGCCCATCCCAAACTCCCCAGGAAGCTGGCTGCACCTGTGTGTGGGGTTTCCTACCGTGTATCTTCCCCTCTTTCCATTCTCCTTCATATCGAAAGAAAGAATTTGGGAATACGTAGACACCATAACCTGAACATTGAGAAGAAAAAGAACATAAGCGACGACCTGGCACTAAGACTGTGATATTAACAGACACCTGAAGGTGGACAGCTCTGGGCTCTGGAGGAGGTGTCTGTACGCTGTTGGCCTTTCAAGGAGTCTGTCCACTTCACCTGGGTTAACTGCTGAAAGGCTGTGTGAAGTTCAGTTTCCTGCTTACTATGGACCCCACCAGGGATCCTTTGGCTCCTGTGATACATGCGGGGCACCCACAGTGTGAAGACAGGACATGGAGAGCAGGGCCAGGACCAAACAAGCGGGCCCTAGGGAGTCCACATGTCTCAGGGGTGTTGGTGGGGGTTGGGAAGGACTGACCTGGTTAGCAGGAAGGTAGGGATGCAGTGTGAGAGCACAGAGGCCCTTCTGGGACCTTCAGTGGTCCGGACAAAATCCGGACTTACACCTAAGGAGGCCTGGCCAGCCTCCTCTCTGTTCATTCAGCTTTGGGCACCATCCCCACTCTCAACTCCGGGTGGAGCGCCCGCCGCCCGCCCAGGCAGGGGCGAGCCCCCAGCTCTGTCCGTGCGCCGACCTCGGGCCAGTTTCCACCTCACGACCCGCGCAGACTCTGGGTTCAAGCTGGTCTTGCTTTTCCCGGCTTGGGGTCAACCCCTATTAGAGTCTGCATCTCGCGGCCTACGTTTCCAGGGCCCCGCGTCGGGTGGGA